TCACTTAATGTAATTTTTTCCAAGTCTTTCCATTTCCTAACAAATGGGGCAATGTCATTCTTTCTGATGGAGGCATAGAATTCCATTGTATATATATATATATATATATATATATACACACATATATGCATATATATACATACATACACATGTATATACACTATATAGTGTATATACATATATAGTATATATAAACATATATGTAGTATATGTAAATACTATATGTATGTATGTATATACATATATACATATACATATATATGTATATATACATATACATGTATATATATATATATGTACCATATTTTCTTGATCCATTCATCTACTGAGGGGCATCTGGGTTGGTTCCATATATTAGCAATGGTGAATAATGCTGCGATAAACATGGTTGTGCTGGTAGCTTTAGTATGGCATTGTTTGTGACTGGGTCACAAACAAAGTGGGATTGCTGGGTCATAGGGGAGCTCTATGTGGAGCTTTTTGAGGAACTTCCATACTACTTTCCAAAGTGGTTGAACAAGTTTACACTCCCACCAACAATGCAATAGGGTTCCCTTTTGGCCACATCCCCTGCAGCATCTGTTATTAGATTTCTTGATTATAGCCATTCTAACTGGGGTGAGGTAGAATCTCAATGTTGTTTTGATTTGCATTTTTTTTATGGCCAGAGAAGTTGAGCATTTCTTCATGTGTCTATTGGCCATTCTTATTTCCTCTTCGGAGTAGTCTCTCCTTAAGCCCACTTATTAATCAGGCAGTTGTATCTTTGAGGATTTGTTATTGGGGGATTTAATTTTTTTGAGTTCTAAGTATATTTTAGATATGAGACCCTTGACCATTGTATGACTAATGAAGCTCTTCTCCTAATCCATGGGCTTTCTATTGATCTTGCTAGCTATGTCTTTTGCAGTTTCATGTAATCCCAATTGTCCAACCTTTCTTTGATTTGTTGTGTTTCTGAGTCTTTATTAAGAAAATTTTGGCCTGTGCCAATGGTCCCTGGAGTTTCTCCTATTCCTTCCTCTAGTTTTCAGGGTGTCTGCTTTGACTCCGGGGTCTTTGATCCATTTGGACTTGATTCTCTGCAGGGTGATATATAGGGATCTAGCTTTAGTTTTCTACAAGTGTTTAACCAATTTTGCCAGCACAATTTACTTTCTTCCATTCTATTTTTTTAGCTCTCTTATCGATGACTAGGTAGCTATAGGTCTTTAGGTTCATTTCTGGATCTTCAGTTCTATTCCATTGGTCCTGAGGTCTGTTCTTATGCCAGTGCCAAGCTGTTTTGATTGCGATGGTTTTGTAGTAGAGTTTTAAGTTTGGTATTAATATTCCCCCAGCACTGTTCTTTCTGCTAAAGAATGTTTTTGCTACTCGGGGTCTTTTATTGTTCCATATGAATTTTTGGATTGCTTCTTCTGTTTCCTTGAAGAATGAGGTTGGGATGTTGATAGGTATGGCATTGAATTTGTAGATAGCCTTTGGCAGTATTGCCATTTTCACGATGTTAATCCTTCCAATCCTGGAGCATGGGGGGGAGGGGAGTTTCCACTTCCTTAGTTCTACTTTCCTTTTTCAGGTTTTTAAAATTTTCATCGTAGAGGTCCTTCATTTCTTTAGTTAACTCCCAAGTATTTTATTTTTCATGGAGCTATTACAAAAGGAGTAGCTTTCCTGAGTTCAGCCGTGCTCTTCTAGCTATTGGCATACAGAAAAGCCACTGATTTTTGAGGGTTAATTTTGTATCCTCCTACTTTGTCTAAGTTTCTGATCAGCTCAAATAACTTGGGAGTGGAGTCCATGGGATTCTTTAAATGCAAGATTATGTCATCTGCAAAAAGGGAGAGTTTTACTTCATCTTTCCCTATTTGTATCCCCTTTATGTTTGAATCTTGTCTTATTGCTCTAGCTAGGCAATCTAATACTTAATTGAAGAGAAGTGGAGAGAGTGGACATCCTTGTCTTGTTCCTGAATTTATGTGAAATGGCTTTATCTTTTCACCATTAAGTATAATGCTGGCTGTTGTTTTGTCATATTGAGAGATGTTTTTTATTATATTGAGGAATGTCCCATGGATTCCTAGTTTTTCCAGAGCTTTCATCATAAAGGGGTATTGGATCTTGTCAAATGCTTTTTCTGCATCTATTGAGATAATCATTTGTTCTTATCCTTGCTCTTGTTGATGTGATGAATTGTGTTAATTAATTTGCATATATTGAACCAGCTTTGCATCCCTGAAATGAATCCTGTTTGATCATGGTGTATGATTTTTTTGATGAGTTGTTGAAGTTGATTGGCCAAAATTTTGTTGAGAAGTTTTTCATTGATGTTCAGCAAAGAAATGGGTCTATAGTTCTCTTTCTTTGATGAGTCCCTGCCTGGTTAGGTTTATGATGTCTTCATAAAAGAATTTGGTAGTGAACTTTCACTTTCAATTTCTTTGAAGAGTTGGAGGAGTATTGGTGTGAGTTCTGCTTTGAAGGCCTTGTAGAATTCAGCTGTAAATCCATCCGGTCCTGGGCTGTAAAAAGTATTTATTAAGAAAGCAAAAGTATACCTCAAAAGATGAGATGGGAGCCAGGTGCAGGTGGCATACATATGTAATCCTAGCTACTCAGGAGGCTAAGGTATGAGGATCTTAGTTTGAAGTCAAGCCAGGCAGGCAAATCTGAGAGACTTCTAACTCCAATTAACCAGCAAAAATCCAAAATTGAAGGTATACCTCAAATGATAGAGGGCCAGCCTTCATCGAAGAAGTTAAGGGAGACAATCAAGCTCTGAGTTGAAGCACAGAGACAGACAGAGACAGAGACAGAGACAGAGAGACAGAGAGAGAGAGAGATGGGTAGTTCAGGAAGGGATTGACTGACTCTGTTTAGTTTCAAGGTGGGGAGTGGGCTCCATAATCATGTAGGGCCATTATCTTTCTCATTAGCCTACAGTGTGGGCATCTTGGGTTTTAGAATGGAATCTGGTAACCCAGGGCATTTCTACATTTCTGCAGAATTCATGCCTAACCTCCCTGCCCAAGCTGCCATTAATCTGGTGTCAGTAGCTGACTGAGGAGCCTGAGATCTGAGGAATACGATTTGAAGCCAACCCAGGTAGGAGAGTCCTAGAGACTCTTTTCTCCAATTAATTACTAGAAGTGGGAGCTCAAATGTTAGGGCACTAGCTTTGAGCAGAAATGCTTAGGGACAGTGCCCAGGCCCAGAGTTCAGGCCCATGACTGAAAAAAAAAAAAAAAAACAAAACAGAAAAACTTCCTCTTCCCATTCTCCAGTGGGCAAAAGGGAAAATTGAAACCCTAGTAGAGGAAGTTGGATCCTAAAATATCCAAACAAAGGTAATGTTCAGATAAATTATAAAATAGTATGCATGTAAAGCTTGGACTTAAGAGGCTCACAGAACTAATGAACATTCAGACTTGCAGTACCACACTAATTTGGTTGATCGTGGGGCTTGACCTCTGAGCCTGGGTACTGTCCCTGAGCTCTTCAGCTCAAGGTGAGCACTCTACCACCTGAGCCACAGTGCCACTTCTGGTTTTCTAGTGGTATATTGGAGGTAAGAGTCTCAAGGACTTTCCTGCCTGGGGCTGGCTTTGAACCATGATTCTCTGATCTCAGCCTCCTGAGTAGCTAGGATTACAGGCATGAGCTACTGGCACCTGGCCCATGAGACTTTTGTTGTTGGTGGTGGTGGTGGTGGTGGTTGTGGGGCTTGAACTCAGGGCCTGAGCCCTGTTCCTGAGCTTTTTCACTCAAGGCTAGTGCTCTTTCACTTTAAACCAAAGTTCCACTTCTGGCTTTCTGGTGATTAATTGGAAATAAGAGTCCCATAGACTTTTCTACCCAGGCTGGCTTCAAACAGCTAACCTCAGATTTCAGCCTCCTGAGTAGCTAGGATTACAGGTGTGAGCCATTGGCACCTGGCTCCATGAGACTTTTATCTCCAATTAACCAGCCAAATATCAAAAGTCAAGGCGTGGCTTAGATGGTAGAGAAACAACTTTGAGCAAAACCCAAGCAAGAGCCAGAAGTCCTGAGTTCAAGCTCCAATACTCAGGTATGTACACACACACACACACACACACACACACACACACACACACACACATCTTAAACCCATTCTTGGCTCTTGGGCCATATCAAAACATACACTAAGGGCTGGGGGTTGGGAGACATAGGTCAAATGATAGAGCTCTTGCCTAGCAGGTACAAGGCCCTGAGTTCAATTCTTACCACTGAGCTAGGTTTGATTCTCAAGATATCATCTGTTGTAATTAAGAGGGGGAGCCAGGAATGAACTGTTTCATTCATTTATCACATCCCTGTATTTCTCTAAATTGGATTTTGAAATCAACATATTCTAAAATGGTATAATGTAGTGAAGGGCTTTGGACTATTTCAGAGTTGACTTTGACTTCTTGTTCCTTTGCTACATTTCCCATTGTTCAAGTGGAGGATAGAGTTGTGTCCATTGTACCTGCTATGTGTCTGGCACTCAGGAAGTGATCGCTGGATGAGAGACAACCCTTCCTCTCCCTCCACCCCAGTCCCCAATACGGTTGACAGGAAATGAACAATTTCACAAAAGACCATGGAGAATGTCTCATTTTTATGTTATTGCATTTCAAAAGTTCCCCTTCTTCCCAGTAGTGAACATAAGAAACCAATCATCACTGGGAAGATAAATGAGATGGGCGGGGCCAAACAGGAGGTTCCACCCCGCCCCTCTGGTCCCTCCGGCCCCACCCCAACCTGGGTTCTGCCCAAGCCATTCAGGAGATTATTGTAAAAGTTTCCCAACTGAAACAATGTCCCAGTCTCCACAACAGCAGGTGGCCTGACAGCCATAGAAACCGTGTTCCTTTTCCCAGGTAGGAGGACCTCCAGGTCAGACCCAGGAACGAATTCAGAGCCCTGCCAACATCAGAAGGAACATGGAGATGAGGAGTCCAGCCACAGCTAGGACCTCAAGAACTGAGGGCTACAGCAACACTGGATTCCAGGTAAGCAGAAGTTAGTTCTGATAGACAAGTACATAGAAACAAGGCATGTTTCTTAACTAAAGCAGTGGGATTATTGGGCCACAAGTGAGAATTTTAATAGCTCATTGTGTGTGTGTGTGTGTGTGTGTGTGTGTGTGTGTGTGTGTGTGGTCGTCTTCCCCTCCACCCCCCACTCCCCACTCCGTTTGTGGCTCTTCTGTGTTGACAAACCTGAAAAGTCTCTGAAACTGGATCTGGGCTGGTTCTAACCTTGTGAAACAGATTGCCTTCTCCTCCCAGGTTTTTCCTCACACACGCAGCAGGGTGAAGCTTTTAGTTGTTGTTGTTGTTTAATCTGTAGGCATCTTTCTAAAGAACAGAAAGAATGGATGGAATTTAGATCCTAGATGAAGTTAGTAGCTCAGGATTTCTTTCTCTTAACCAAGGTCACACAGCGCCTATCAGAGGGTGGCCCTAGTGCCTGCCCCAGGAAGGCTGGGTTATGCAAGCCAGTCTCATCACCTCAACCAAAACTCACTGAATGATTAATAATGCTGCTGGGCCCAGGACTAGGAGCCACACGCAGAGCCCCAGAGTGGGGTGGCACCTGGGTGTGACAGACTTGGGGATTTTTCAGAGCTTTCCTGAGTGTACTTCCTTTTCTAACTGACATTCGACACTGGAGAGATTTGGGAGGGAAACAAGACCTTAAGCATTTAGGCTTTAGGATCACTACGTGCTATTAAAAAAAAAAAAAGATAAAGGTAAAGGGGCTTTGATCTGAGGCCAGACTTCCATCCACAATAGCTTCCCTCTACTCCTCTGATTGTCTGAGCAATAATACAACGGTGACCATTTCATAGTTTGTGAGTGTCTGGAGGAAAAGATTTCCTCTACCCTCTCAGGTTCACTTCCCAAGGCCTGAGAATGAAACCGACCAAAGGCTGTCTATCAGGAAAAGAACATACAATGTTTTTAGTATTTTTGTGTGTACTGAAGCTTGAACTCAGGGCCTCTCCTGTTTCCACTTAGGTTTTTCTACTCAAGGCTAGCACTCTATCACTTGAGCCACTGTTCCATTTCCAGCTCTTTGTTGGTCTACCTGGGCTAGCTTCAAACCAAGATCCTCATCTCTCAGCTTCCTAATAGCTAGGATTATAGGTGTAAGCCACCACCAGCACCAGCACCTGGCTTGTTATTAATATTTTAAATTCACACATATGAGGGTCTCAGAGAAAAGAAGTTTTAAAAACAGAAAATTAGTAGTTAGAAACAAATACACTGTTTTAACAAGGAAAAATATATTGTGTAGAAATAACTAGACAAAGGAAAGGGGAGTGAGCCTATTGGAGCCAATAAATTGTCAGAAAAGATAAGTAAATGCCTAGATAATTAATGGAAGCTAAGGGATAATGTATTAAGGCTTATTCATGAAGACACCTCACAGTGTCCATTTCCAGTGACAATAGTTGTTCTCCCTTTCCTTGTATAAAAGAGTTACCTGTGGCCTGGAAATCTGCTCTACTTATAAGAAAACAGCAAAGGCAGAGAAATCTTCTTGTATGCTTTTTCTCAGTTGCTTTTCATTCAAAATATTCTTAGAAGAGAGTGTCAGATTTTCAAGGAGTCATATTCTGATTCCCAATGTGAGTGTTTAATGGGGCAGGGTGTTAAGTATGAAAGCCATTATTACTCAAGAGAATGGAAGGTACCTGGGCATCAGGTGCTGGTGGCTCTTGTCTAGACTCCTAGCTACTTAGGAAGCTGAGATCTGGGCTCAAAGCCAGCCAAGGCAGAAAATCTGAGAGATTTTACCTCCAATTAACCACCAAAAGGCCAGAAGTAGAAGTGTGGCTCAAGTAGTAGAGTGTTAGCCTTGAGGGAAAAAATCTAATTCAGACCATGAAACATTAAATACTGGCATAAAAGGGAACGGGAGGGGGGTGGGGGATGGAATATAGTCAACATGAGAAAACATGTCTGCAGTGGAAAATGGTCCATGGCACCAGCAATGCTCACTGCTCACAAAGAGGAAGATACATGGCGGGACTCCTAATATTCATCATGCTCTTCTGTCAAAGCAGCACTCCAAGGTATCAAGATTCTGATCTGGCTGTTTCAAATGGACAGACTCCCACACTAACCACATCCTGGCCAGCCACAGTGACTGGGCTATTTCTTCCAAAGTTACTTTTCAACAAGAATTTCTGGAAAGCTGTATTTACTCAATAGAATCATTAACTGTCCCTTAGATAGGGTCACTGCTCTTAGAAGGGATACCAATGCCAGAAGTGAGCCTCTGAGTTTTTTTTCCCTCAAGAAACAGAACAGGAAGAAACAAGCAATTACAACATAATGTAATGTTAAAGTACAGGACATATAAATGTGTAGTTGAAGCTGGGCCAATTGGAGAGCTTATGATAATAATCACAGGGCTGCACAAACTTTACTTCAGCCTGGGGGATGGGTGCAATTTTCTAAGACAAGTCCCTCACCCTACCCCCTGCAGACAAAGGGGCCAGAGAGTCTATGACCAGGCCCTGGACCTAAAGAGAAGAGCACAAGTCTGTTGGAAGGAAGGGGGAACAGGCAGGTGCCAGGTCATGTGATCTCAGTGTGTACCAACACATTTGAGAGGAAATCAGTAAAAATTTACACGATCAAATTATAATTATTCACTATATTTTTTATTCCTTCTTCTTCTTCTTCCTCTTCTTCTTCTTCCTCTTCTTCTTCTTCTTCTTCTTCTTCTTCTTATTATTATTATTATTATTATTATTATTGTGTCCAGTAGTGGGGGTTGAACTCAGGGCCTTGAACTCTCACTTGATTTTTTTCCACTCAAAGCTGTTCACTCTACCATTTGAGCCACAATTCCACTTTTGACTTTTCTGCTGGTTCATTGGAGGTAAGAGTCTCATGAACTTTTCTTCCAAGGCTGGCTTCAAAATTAGTATTAATCAAACCAGGCACCAGTGGCACACATCTGTAATCCTAGCTACTCAGGAGGCTGAGATCTGAGGACTGAGGTTCAAAGCTAGCTCTTACAGGAACGTCCATAGGACTCTTATCTCCAATTAACCACCAGAAAATTGGAAGTGGCGCTGTGGCCCAGAGTGATAGAGTGCTGCTTTGCTCAGGGACAGTGGCGAGGCCCTGAGTTCAACCCCCACAACTGATAAAACAAAAGAGAAAATAAATTAGTATACTCATTCAAACTAAGCCAAAGGCAGATCCACTTTAGTGACATTTGTATTTAGAGTTGGGAGGGGGGGGGACTTCTACCCACAATGCAGAAATAAGCAGTTGTGTTCATGCTTCCAGAGGACCCAGGACACTTTACTCTGGGTCACACTTGGGAGTAGAATTGCTGGGTGGTTGCAATACATACACATTTTCAACTTTGACTAACAATGCAAAATCAGTTTCCAGAATGATTGTGCCAATGTAGACTTGCATCAGAAGAATGTGAGTTCTTGTTTCTCCTCCAGATCCTCATTAACACTCATCTAGCCTTTTCATTTCAGTCATCCTGGTAGGTGCTCAGCAGTATGGTCATACCTCCCTTAGTAGTAGGGTTAGGTCTCCATTAATAGAAAAATCTCCTGAGAAATACGTCACTTGGTGATTACATTTATTTGTTTGTTTGTTTGGCCAGTCCTGGGGCTTGAATTCAGGGAGTAGGCACTGTCTCTGAGCTTCTTTTTGCTCAAGGCTACTCTACCACTTGAGCCACAGTGCCACTTCTGGATTTTTTTTCTGTTTATGTGGCACTGAAGTATCAAACCCAGGGCTTCATGCATGATAGATAAGCACTCTACCATTAAGCCACATTCCCAGTTCTGGTGATTCATTTTTGAGCCAGCATCACAGAGTATACTTGGGTAGTATGGTCCCAATATGATCTCTTGATTCAGTGAAGAGATGCAGTAAATGTTAGCATGCCCTCCATCTCAGGTCATTCGTCCCTCCCACAAAACCAGTTGATCTGGCCAGGCCTAACTGCAGTTGGCCTTCAGCTCCGGCCATTCCTCCCACTTCACTTCTGCCATCCATATTTTACCCCTAACCCCCAGCTGCCTAACTGTAACTGTTACAAGCAGGAAACCCTGGCCAGGCTATGTGCCATCTTTAGCGCTCAGCTGTACATGCACACATGCATGAAGAATACTTCCTGTACTTCCTGCCGCTAGACCCCTGACTATAAATTTGACCCTGAACAAAGGATGGGTGCCATTTCTCCCTCTCCTGGGAGGGAGGTGGCCTTATCAGCTCTGCAGATAGTAAACTCCTTTTCCTGTATATGACTGTGTCCATTGGTCTTCTGGGTTGGTGGCTTTCAGTAAATATGATCTGTAAAAGGTTCCTGCCAGTGTTGACCTAGCTTACTGTCTCACAGAAAACTTTTTTGTTTCTTTTTATATCAGTCCTGGGGCACTTTGGGATCTGCTATGTACAGTCCTGGGGCACAAGAACTCAGGGCATGAACAATATCCCAGAGCTTTTGTATTCAAGGATAGTGCTCTACTACTTGAGCCACAGCTCTACTTTCAGCTTTTTTAATGGTTAACTGAAGATAAGAGTCTCAAGGACTTTCTTGCCCAAGCTAGCTTTGAACCACGATCCTCAAATCTCAGCCTCCTAAGTAGCTAGGATGATAGACGTGAGCCACCAGGACCCAGCTCCATAGCTGGGTGGAAGTTTAAAAATTTAATTAAAAAAATTAAAAATAGTTCTTATAAAGGTGATATACAGAGGGGTTTCTGTTTCATAAGTCAGGCAATGAGTACATTTATGTTTGGACAAGGTCACCCCTTCCTTCTCTTTCTCCCAGTTTTCCTCCTGGCCCTACCCATTAGTTGTAGAGTTCATTTTCAACATAGTGTCTACTGAGTACCACTGCACAGCAAACTTTTTTTTTATAAGAAGAAAGACTTCATTCTCAAATAGTAATAAAAAGTATAAGATAGTCATTATCCAGTTTAGTATACTATGCAAAGTTCTATGCACTGTACTTTTCC